ATTTATAGATGAAAATTATTCTCATGACAGAGTAAATTATAAATTCCATTAAGTAATTCTTGATCACAACCACATCCAATTCACTCAGCTTTAAAACCACACTTCACTTTTCCTTTAAATACTATTAAAATAGCCTATGTGCATGACTAACGTCTCACTTTTTTTTTTTATTCAAAAGTAAAACCTAAAAACTTTCTTGCACTTTTTAAGAACATGTATTCCTAACACGCACAGCTGAAGGGAACTGCCTTTCCTAGATATTGTCCTACACAAGAAAGTGTAAAACTTTTTCCATAATTTCCACAATTTTATCAAGAATATTTAAAAACAAAATACCTTCATATTTGCTCTTTTTAAAAAAAAGGAAACGGTTACAGAGTCAAAGAATCCTAGTTTCAAACAATAAGCATAGTTTCTGCACATCTTACTAAGCTACATAACGCCATGTGCTAATATATAAAATAAGTGTCTCTAAGAAACAAATAAAAGTTTGGGAAAATGCTCATAAATTGGTATCCAGAACTGTATATGCAAGTGACATCCATCTTCAACCATGTACAGTTATTCCTCCTTCACTTTTATATGTTTATGCCCTGGCTTCTCAAGGTGTGCAGTTAAATATTCATTAGAAATTCCATGCTTGAGAAAAATCAAAGATTCATTATGCCTGCATTTACTGCTATAAATTGATTTACATACATACACAAAACAGACACACAGCTAAACTGTTCTACATACAGAACCCAAGGTATTACACACAATCATGACACTGTTGGACTCTGCTGCAAAGCCAAATAATTTCTGCTGATATCTAAATCCAGATTCAGTTTGATTTTGTTGTTTAAGGTCCTTTGCCCAGGACCCATGTCCCAACTGTTGTTGTTACTCTTCTTTATGGTTTGGTCCTATTCCTGACATTAGACTCTCATTACCACTAATACAAACTTTCAGGGTGGCTGGTTATCTGGTACTGCTTGATTCCAGAGAAAGCTTGAGAGAAGCTATGATCCCAGCTGCAGGTCAGAAATCCTTACTGATATATTGCATATATATCAACCCTGGATAGTCACCATCAAAGCAAGTAAATAACGTGGATTATCCAAGTCTCATATCCCCACAGAGACCTCTCTAACTGCTGACTACCCAATCTGAAAGAAGGAATCGCTGGGCAAGGGGAGGTGGACAGCAGGGAGAAAGGAGCTGCTCACCTTAAAAACACACTTGCAAGAATATTAGAGCAGTAGCAACTGGGCAAGGTTGCAGGAAGACATACGCATTTTTGCCTTCATGTAGTAATTATTAAACTTATTAATAGCATTTGTTGCACGGTTAGACATAAAAGCGACTTCAACCTCCTTATCTCCTGTTTCAGAAAAGCAACAGAACTACCCAAATCAGTAGGGCAGGCAGTTCTTTAGCAATCAGCCTTCATTCAAACGTCTGAATACATAGAATAGGAACACTGCAACTACCAGATCTAATTTATTCCTGATTAATCCTCTAGCTTCTTATGATATCTGGGTCAAACCTAAATGTTAAAACTATGCAACAAGAAAAAAAAAAAAAAAAAACCAAACGTGCTGGAACGGAAATTGGGGATTTCTAGTAATATTTCCTGCCTCATATAGCTTTCCACCATGTCCCCAGGAGGGCACATTTGTCCACCCATGCAGAAGTATAGCCAGGAAACTCCTCGGTCTTTGCATATGAGAATTTAACACACAAAGCAAGAACAGAGCAAGAATTGCTTCTGCCTAGCTATGATGTCCCTTACTGAAATCACCATCTGCACTGATGTCAGACAGCTATGCTAAAAAGCCATTAACTCATTTCAGGCAAACAGAAGTCATAGTCACTGGCTTCTCAGGACAGCTGGGTGAACAATTAGAGCCAGCACTGTCAGGGCAAACGTACAAGTGGGTTTTCAAATATCCAGAAAGAAGGAAGGGCTTGTGTTATTCTCATGTGTCAGCTTGCCCCTTTATGGCATCCTGCATTGTTTAAATATGCTCCTCCAGCTCCCAAGTTGAGTGTGGCAAGCTACAAAAGTGTCATAGCGAGGCCAGATCAAGATGCCAGCACAGTGTAAACACTACCAGAGAGGCAGGCATGAGGCTCATGGGTGCCTGTGTCTAGCACACGAGTGCAGGGCTGCTCCACTAGTCAGGCTGGTGGTCCGTCACATGTCCTTCCCAAGAGTCCAAGCTTTTGATATCTCACAGTTGTGTTAGTTTTAATTTATTACAATACATTGATAGTTGCTAGACGTGATTGAATCGTTTATAACCGGTGTAGTGATGTCTGCCTGAGTTTGCAGGATGTGTAGGCCATAGGCAGTGGGATCAACTGGAGGGAGGTCTGGCACTACAGAGCCTAAAGCTCCAACAATCCTGCTCTAGACATAGACAGATTTCCCCTCTGCCATTTTGCACATGGCTTGTCTGACTGTTTGGGGAATGGACTCTGGCATGGTAGCTTCCCCCCATCCCCTCCCTTCTGCAAAACACCTACAAAGTCAGAGGGTAGCTTGAGACATGTTTGGGAGACTTAGGGCATACTGGCTGCATCCCCATTCCTGACATAAGTTTACAGTCCTCTAGCTGCTGGGATCCCTCAGGTCCCGAGTTTGCTTTCAGTCCTCATCACAAAACATAACAGACAAGGAAAACACTGAAACAGCCATGTGGAAGTAATCACCACTCCACACTCACATGGATATCACCTACACAAGTGTCTGGCTATGAGTTGCCAGTTAATGACACTAGCAGTGAGTACTGCCCTGTGGAGATAAACTGAAGCAAGTTTAGCTTCTCCCTAAAATTTCAACAAATGAGATAAACCAGACCAAAGGCAATGAATTCTTCCATCTTCAGAAACCCAAGACAGCTGTAATTTCTTTCTTGCCTTCAGTAGTTTAACAGAGATTTTGAGATCAGATTGTCATCTACTTGTTGAGGTCAGCTGTGATGAAAGCACAAGAGACTGGAAAGAGGTTGAGAGAGACCCCAAACACTACTAGGTTTTGTTCATGAGGTACCCAGGTAGGTATCTGATAAACCAGAAAACTCCTGTCTACAGAGACAATGTTGCCCATGGCAGCTTCACTAGCACTTCTTCACTGAGTAAGAAATAAAAAAAAAAATAGCTATCAGTGCTTCACCTGCCGAAACCTGTACTTTTTGAAGCTACATTAAGAGCTTGCAGTGCTACACCCCAAACTTCTGTTGAGTTCTTTATTTTACAGTGAACTTGGAAACAGTGAGGAGCACGCTTTTATTGTTGGCCTCGTAATTTGTTCATCATCAGAAAGCCAAACTTGAAGGCTAAATTGGTAGCTCTCTGGTTAATGCTCTGTAGCCTAGAGAGTTTTATCCACTAGCCACAGTTGCCAGGAGCAGGATGCAATACAAACATCACAACCTCTCAGATGTGAGGTTGAGGAGACAGATTCCTTCAGATCAGTTTGCACTGATCCACAGGTGGTCACAGAGAAATTTAGTAGTATAACCAAGTGGTGTCCCTTGACCTGTTTATTACTGGAGCTCACAGCCTCTTAAGAAATACATTATTTATGCATTTCATTAGCAAAACATTAGTTAGTTAAGCTTTACATCTTAAAGATTTACAGCATTTAAATCAGACTACCTCTGCGTACTTGCAGATACGATTACAATCTAATCTCGAAACAAATATCCCTTATTCTTCATCCAACACAGTTCAACCTTAACATTTAAAGAGCACTGTGAAATGACTCAGAACACAGTACTTCCCTTGAACACACACAGGAGAAAGATCTTGTGCAAGAGGCAACCTTTAAATACAAAGAGGTAAGCTACATGCTCCTTCTGAGTTACACAACTTTTGATCAACAATAACAACTACTTCCCTCCTCCCAAAGACACTCCTCAGCAAAGACTTGCAACTACAATCAAACCAGATAATATAATTTCCTTTATGTTTTTTTCTCCTTTAACAGCTAAAGTTCAAGCTGTCTGATTAATGACACCAGTGAGATATACAACAGTATTTAAACAGGTAGGTTTCAAAGCTATCGTAAACTACCTAGAGCTGAGTTACAGGATATTAGCTCAACAAGTTCCAGTACCTTTCATAGTACAAAACTTAACCAATAGTTGCAATGGTCCAGCTAAACATCTCAGGAGATCTCATTCACAAATTTCAATATGCATTCATTTTTGCACAAGCTTTATTCTTTTGGTGTGCAAAGACAGCTTTTTACCAACTTCAGGGACAACACTGCATGCCCAGGGAAAGAAATCAGTCCATACAGGTAATTCAGATCCCAAACTCCTGACACATGGCAGGGAATTTTCAAAGAAGCAAAGAAGTACAGGCATTAGGGCACAATTACAAATTGCTCTTAAAAGTCACTTGCTTTGGCATCTAAGCCCACAACATGCTGTTGGAAGACTCTGCCTAAAAACTAGCTATTAAAACCAGAGAGAAACATGCAAAAAGCTAACTTGCATTTCTTGTCCAAAAATTACAAAACACATCATTCAAATACACCTTTAGGTAAAATTTAGAGGATGCCTAACCTTTCCAGAAACTATAAAAACAGCTGAGTACTGATGGTATTCAGATGGCTAACTCTTGACAGTGCTCGAACCTGGAGTTGGTCCAAAACGCCTCACTGTAGCAGAGATGTCTGCAGGCAGGTGTGGAACACCATTTGCCAGTCTGTGGTTAACATCTTTAAAAGGAAACCAAAAAGCTAACATCATTTTTACTTTATGTAATTCAGCTAAGGAGCTGGGGAGGAGCAAGGGAAGCACCTTGCAAAACCTGTTTTCTTTAAGCCACATTTCAGTCCTCACCATAACAATAGCTTTGGCACTGAAATGATGCTGCAGTGAAATACCAGTGTGCACAATGTCAAAACTCACAAAATGAAATCAACAATCGCACATACTTCCCAAAGTTCATTTCAGCTTTAGTCAAGATTGTATCCAAGGCTCAAAACTATAAGTGTTACTTACTCACACAGAAGAATGCCGTTTTCTAATCCAGAACGAAAATCTTTCTCACCAAAACTTCTGCCTGTCACTTGCTGCAAAAGAGTAGGCAGAAAGAGAAGAGAGACATTGATTAGAAGGTGTACTTTACAAGAGCAATTCATAACATTCAGCTAAAGCATCTGCTGCATAGGAAATATCTGAACTTTACAGGCCTTGCCAAAGGACTCAGTCGTGTCCATCAACCAGCTTCCTCCTCCTCATTTCATCAAGATATTTAACACATAGAACAAAGTATTTGCTCTGGCCAGTGCAATTATAGATTATAACAGAGCTGCTTTCTAGAAGAAAAAAACAAAAACTATAACCCAAAATCTACAAACACTGTAATCTTCAGAATATTTTAAAAATTCTATTCTATAGCATTTTGAATTTTAAAACTATTGTATTTAGACAAACTATTTATTTTCACTGCTTTTTTGCACCATGTTAAAAATTTTTTTGCTGGGCTTAAACTTTTGGCTTTTAACCTATCACCTTCACAGAACAAGCAAAAGCAATTGGAAACGCTTGCATGAGTTACTGCCCTTCAGACGCACACCATAATACTCCTGGTCATATTAAATGATATTACACATCATGAAGTCAACCGTGAGTGTGAATACAGCCTCGGTGGAAGCTAAGGTTTAGGCACCTACTCACAGTCTTCAGCCTGCCAGGCTTGGACCAGGAGGTACATTCTGCACTATGAGCTCTTAAGCCAGTCTGTGCTGCTTAGGGATGGACCATGTGGGGACCATCCAGGAATCCCAATCTCGCCTGAGTGTGCTGGATGCTACAAGCATGACTGAACCCTCATTTCTGACTACTGCCATGTTGACAATGGCTTGCCATTCATCCTCAAATAATTCTCAACAGATGACGTGTTCAGTTAAAAGTAAAGAATACTTTTTATTACCACCATCAAATACATAAAAATAGTTGCTATGTTTAGAGAGCATTGAACAGAAACAAAACAAAGCAAAAAAAAAGCCTGCCTAGTTTTTAATTGTCCTCCAGGAGGTCTTCTCTTCACCCAGCCAAAACATTTACCGGATGCTTATAGTTCTCATGGCTCGCATCCAATCTTTCAGCAAGACCTCTGCTCTGGGAGTTGCTTCCACCACGGAGAATAGTGACTTGGGCACACATCTGTCCTTACATCCCCATTTTGTCCTTGCTGTTCCATTCAGATACAAGACCCTTCCCCTCCCAGTTTCCTGTCATAAAGACAGCAATTTATAAAAACTGACAAGTTTGGCATTTTCCCACGGGATTAGTGAATGCACCAGCTTCACAAATGCTGGTTATAGCTACGCACAGTCTTAGAGAATAACACATTTTTGAATTGAAGTGCGAATGCAAAGCCTAAAAACTAATTCCCCACTTAATTACAAATGTATTGTTTTTTTCAATGTGAAGGAACTTCTCCCAGCAACCTGGTATGACACTGTGCAAATTTTAACACCCTGTACTATGAAAAGTGTATCATGAAGACTTCAGTTGACAATCATATTTTATGTAAATGCATAAAGCAGAACAAGGCACTGTGTTGTCCTCATATTTCAGAAGACACCAGATGCAATTTTCCAGCAGTAAATGACCTCTAATCATTTAAACTATCTCTAATCATAGTATATCATCGCTAATCTTGATCTCCTGGAACAGAGGGAAATCATGACAATAAAACCATTGGCATTTGGGATGAATAATAGACTCAGCACATTAAAACTGACCTTTATTTCATCCATAGAATAAAGTACAGTACAGAATGGAGTAGGAAGAGCTATTTCATAACAGTCTGACTTGTTGTGGTTTTTTCATTTATGTAAGGGAAAAAAAATTATAGTGATCTTCTTTCACGCCTCAACATAAACATTCCATCTATGGAAGTCAATCTTTTTATGTGTTTGTTGAACACCCTCTTTCAGCAGGGAGCAGCAGTACTGAAACTGTTAACACAATTCAGGTAAGAATCTACCTGCCAAAAGCTGTTACATGAGTATTGCTGTCATTACTGCTGATGTAGGAAGGTTTCATACACAATTTCTGGCTGCAGGAATAAAATCATGAAATGCAAATACACAGCTGGAACAACAATTCATCCAGCGAGAGGTACAACAAAAACTGACAGCAGGTGAGGAAAGACAGGAAGGTCCAGGAACAGTGCATGTCTGTCTGAAAAGGAAATGGAAGTAAATGAGGCATGGAAAAGTTTATGCATATTCTAGATGATCCAGCTGCAGAGGGGAAACATTAATCAGCTACAAGTCTCCTGATTTAGCCAATTAAAATGGATGAACAGTTCAACAGAGAAAGGCTGAAAACTAAAAGTAAGTGTGAAAATTACATTATAAATGACAAAGATAACCCAAAAGGGGACTGAGAGGAGTAAAATGCTGTGTCCACCTTTTCCAGAGGAAACTGGAGCTCAGTTTCTTGGCGTACGCACACCCGCACACACATGTGCACACCCACCTCCTCTGCTGTCTGCAGGAGGCTGCTTTGGGCCCTACCCTCAAGAACAACAACAGCAGGCCCCCAGGCCAGCCTCCTGCATGTGTCTGAGATAACCCTTGTCAGCACACTGACAATGGAAGGAGTGAGGATTTGAAGGGACTTCAAGCAAAAGGATTGGCACTCTCATATTTGCAAACAGAGTCCCACATAGCTAAGTGCATACTAAAGTTCGCCCAAACCCATGTAAAAAGGAAAGCACATGCATTAGCCACAGTATTGCAAAAACATTGCATGTGTCACAGGACCATGTCATGTTGTGAATCTAGGCAGTGGTCTGTTCCTACTAGCCTATTTTCTTCCATCTCTGGAAAAAAGCCTCCAGTCTGACTGCTGGATGAAAACCCCAGGTTAAAGGTACAGAGCAGCAGGCCTGGGCAATACAGGAGAACACAGGATACATGGAAGAGTTCCCTGTTCACTTCTGCAGTGCCAGTTCTCTGTAATTCTCTGCAGTGAAGGGGCACCAAAGCTAGAATGAAGCACCTTAAAGGCAAAACATAAGCTGTATCCTTCCAATGAATACTAAAAAAAGACAGCCACTTCTTTAATAAGTTCCGTAAAGTTGAGACAAAAAGAGCTGCCTTTCCATATCATACTGTAACTTAAAAAATAGAGAACTGAAGCAAAACAATATCATTTGCTGTTGTGCTTCATTTATGTGAGGAGTTGGTTTTATTCATCATCTGGATGATATTTTCTTTGTAAAAAGCTGCAAGCGTCTTCAACCAGGGCAACTATTTGACTGACGGATGTGCTTCCCAGTTTCCCTGCCACTTAACAACCCAGAAACGAACCTTAAATGAATAATAAAAGTTCTTCCAAAAGGAATATTAGGACACTAAACCACAGCACACTGACTCTCTATCACAAGCTTATGGCAAGAGCTTTAATATGTATTTACACATAGTAACATTTCTTATATACAGTATTGTTGCCGATTAACTCCTTTGTTCTTTGCAGTTACACATGCCACTAAATTTATGTCATCAAGGATGGCTGTCGTCCAGCCACTAACACAACTCTTTTCACTAAGCTTCAGTTCACATTGTTTTCCTTGCATTTTGTACTGCTGCTGGTGCTTCCCAAGATGAAGCTTGCAAGGCCTCTGGTGTCAGAACAGCTTAAGGCCATGAAAAAGAAAAGGTGACAAATTAGTGAGCAGATGCTAGCCTCGGGTGAAATTTACCTCAGACAACAGGATATAAGTAGTAGAATAAACACCCCGTCATCAGGGACAACACTTTGAAAATCAGCTTCATTTTCTATGTACACATCTGAAAATACCATGTAAAGCAGTGAACAAAAATACAGACACAGCAGGGAGAGGTCTTTGTTACTCATTATACGTTTTGGAGAGCTTGTGAAGCATAACAGCAATGAAAGAAAGATTTCCAAAAAGTTTGGTAGGCTGTTCATTTCTTTGTACATGTGTACACTGCATTTACATTTTGTGCAACCAGTGTTTTCCCCTATGTAATTTTTTTACTTAAATGAAGAAAGCTCACCCTGCTACTTAACTAGAGAACATACTGCTTTAGCTTCAGAGATATGTGAAAGTAAGGCTTAAACTGGAATAATCACAGGTATGTAAACAGAAAGCATTGGATCATGCAGGCAACACAAGCCACCAAAGGAAAGTATGACAGGTTTTAGGGCATCAGCATTTGGCACCTCTAGAGTAATGAATCACAACTTTCCCATTTCCAACATATCATTTGAGCTAATAACATGAATATGCAAGTTCAATTCCTTTTTCATGTAGCATAGACAAAAGATTTCAGAACTAAGTAATTGACAAATTTAAAGCCAGCTTTACATCTGCAGAGCAGAACCGTGCCACATTGCTATGGCAGCGCAATGGGACTTGCAGACCCTCCGTCGGCTCCTGGTTCTGCCGTGTCCTGAACATGCAATGCTTTGCTCTGTCTGCACATGTGGACACAACACATCATCTAAGCATCAGCTCCTTCTCTCTTACTCCACAGCAGAGGGATTTTAACTGCTAATATCATACCAATATAAGCCAGTTCTGAACAGCTTTATTACATATATAAGGAAGCTAGTTGACTTAGCACAAACTTGAAGACTACATGAATGAAGCTTCCCAAGAGCATCAAACACTGGTCTTGGCATACCTATATTCCAGAAGAGCTGAATGATGACAAGCACTCTGCACAATGCTTTCCAATGTATTACAGTGTTGATTAAAAATCAATACAAGAGTGAACAACTTAAATACCTTTAGTGTGTATTTCTACTCTCAAGGACAAAACCAGCACGAGCTCAGAATGACTCATGTAGCCAGCAATGAACCACCTGAAATTCTGTGGTATGGAACTTTAAAATTTGAGGAATGCATGGGAGGAAGGGGGAAGATTTCACACTTGGGTAGCAAGATTAATCTGCAAAGAAAGCACTTAACATTATTTATTTTTAGATCTTCCCCCTTCTGGTCATTTAACTTTAACTGAAATTTGCAAAGCTAATTAGCCCGCTAAAGTCCCCATTTGTTCTTTTCCTCTGGCTATTCATTCTC